ACTGCAGGTGCGTTAGCTTTTGTTCAAGTTTATTGGGATGCCATGCTAAATGAATACCACCACAAAGCAACACCTACATATCATGTGTTAATGTGAAAAGCGGTTGTGCGTGGTAAAACTCATGTTGTCCCAAAGTGGCAGTGTGTACGGGCCTTAAAAGGCTTTCAACTGTCCAGTGAGCAGAGCCTTTCTCTGGAACGTTAGTTTTAGCAGTGGACAGTAGACAAGTTTTCATTTTATAGATGGTTTCCTCGAGATATAAGAGGTACTGGGTATCATTTAATGAAATACATTTATGAAATAATAAATCGGACAGTTTCAGCTTTTTATATACAGTAATACATTGGTTTACAAGTAACTTGGTTTGAGAGTGTTTTGCAAGACAAGCAAACATTTCTGAAAAATGTTGCCTTGATATACGAGCAATGTCTTGCAATAAGAGCAAAATTTTGCAGAAAAGCACCACCCAAATAAGGCTGTAGCAAAATCCTCAAAAGGAGGCAACAGCAAGTGTCATTGGATAGATTCCTTGTTAAGGTTTCACGAAATGAAAAAGATTCCATTGAGCCAAGAGATAGCAGTGATTCCTTTAGTGATAGTGAAAGTCATCCTCTCTTGTCTCCCTCACACCAGCCACAAAGGTACCAGTAATTGGTTTATTTTTCTTTATATTTTGTATTATATTGCAGTACAGTATTGTAATAATTTTTATATGAATATTTTTGGGTTGTGGAACGAATCATCTGAGTTTCCATTATTTCCTATGTGGAAATTCGCTTTGATATACAAGCGCTTTGGATTACAAGCATGCTTCCGGAACCAATTATGCTCGTAAACCAAGGTATTACTGTATTTGTTTTGTCTACAGTGTGTGTGTGTGTGTGTTTTAGTTAATGTGACTTAATATGCAATATGATATTACAGGAGGACCTGGACAAAATAGGGGAGTGGGCAACTACATGTCAGATGAGGTTTAATGTTGAAAAATGTAAAGTAATGCACTTTGGGGTTAAAAACAGGCAAGCTGGATACACATTAATGGGAACTCCACTAGGGAAATCATAAACGGAAAAAGATCTGGGGGTCATAGAAGATTGAACAATAGTTTGCAATGCCAGGCTGGGGCAAACAAAGCAAGCAGAGTACTGTCTTGTATTAAAAAGAGAATGTACTGTAGAGACAAAACAATAATTTTGCCACTTTATCACTGCTGCAGTCTCATCTTGAGAGAAGGGCAACAAAACTAATTAAGGTGCTGGAGGATCAAAGCTATGAGACGAGGTTGTTAAATTTAAACTTGTTTTTAAACACGCTGGAAGTGAGACAAATAAGAGGGGACATGATCTTAATGTACAAAATGATTGACGGTGATGGCAACATCAGCACTAAACTTTTTACTGTAAATTCCCTTGCAAAGACTAGAGACCGCCACCTAAAATTGGTGGAGAAAAGATTTATCCACAAAGGGCGTAGGGGCTTCTTTTCAGTTAAGTGGTTACATTTTGGAACTCTTTGGCACAAGCAGTGGAATCATCAGAGAATATTGATACGTTCAAAAATCAATTAGATACTGTCCTAAGAGACTGTAACATACAGGGGTACGGGTATTCTTAATTACTAGACCACACACACACACATCTTGACATCTTTATAAAAATATTTATATAATGTACTAAAGTGTATTTCTACTATGTAACTAACTGCTATGTATAGATTGAGCATGTAGATTAGACCTGTTAAACTGTATGTGTGTGTTGTGAAAGTTGTAAAATGAACTCGGGTTGCTGGTAAGCCTGGTAATCTTTATTGACTTAGTAACACTGGTATACTAACTGTAATATTTGCTGAGGAAATGAAGACCAATCATCATTCACAGCAAGATGCACACAACTATGCGTGTCCCCACGTGTATTTGCATGCAAATAATGGTACATGATTTTTCCCAACACACATAGTCGTTTGAATGGGTCCTATAGAGAACAATTCATTTTAATTTGTCCATGCCGTTTTCCTGCATTCCAAAATGATGAAACTGTCTGGGTGAACAATGTTTAATGCTAATATCTGATGCTCTTGTTTTGCATAGGCTTAAAGTGGACCTTTGCTTTGCCCTTGCAGGTCAAACAGGTTCACTTTAAAGCCATCCCTGAAGCAGCTAGTACTTACCTTGCTATCTTGCAGGACATGGCTTGATTGCTATTGTTCCACTGATATTTAGCTGGCATGTAACGCTGCTACCTGGTCCATGCCTCCGCTCTATATTGACTTTTTGCCAACTGTCTGTGGTCCTTGTAGTCCAACTTACTCTTTAAACAACCACTCATGATCACTGTGTTTCTGAGCGAGTGGTCACTTCACAAAGTCAATACATTGGTCCTGGCTGAGGGCCCATTCACACCATGTCTGGATCATCTCCAGACCAGATCGTTTACGGACCCAAAATGCATCCTAATGTATCCCTACGCTATTTCTGGCCTCTATTCACACCAGTGCAGTCCGTTCCAGACCAGAAAAATACTGCTTGTCCTATTTTGTCTGGTCTGGAATGCACTGGAACACACCTGTAAAAAATTTCCACAACGTTTCCAAAATTTCCAAGTAGTGTAAAGCGGATGGCAGCAGTGTACCGCACAGTGCGCATGGCAGCAGTGTACCACACAGTGCGCATGGCAGCAGTGTACCGCACAGTGCGCATGGCAGCAGTGTACCGCACAGGTGTGGATGACAACGGTGTAAGATAGAAAGGGACTTACAGTTTTGATGTACTAGATCATGTGCTCTGTCATGCCCTCTTCTTCCTCTCCTCTCTAGTGGGTGGTGGTGGGGGGGAACAGCAATGTTTCTCCCATGTGAAGCCCCAAGCAGCCTTGATGCGTCTTCTCTGTCCCTACTCTGCTAAAATACATGAGCAGCCAATGGCAGTGCTGCACTCTCCCTCTTAGCCAATAGCAGCTGGGGTGGGCGGAGGAAGAGAGTAGTGGTTGCCGAGTGCCGAGGAGCCCGTACAGCAGGGGTCTCAAACTCAATTTATTCGGGGGCCACTGGACACCTTTTTTAGTCCTGTGAGGGCCGCTACTATATACCAGTGTTAATGTCTGCATATGTTACAAGCGGCAACTGTCACCCATTCAAATTAATGATCGGGTGACAGCCGCTGCATGTAAATGCCTGCACACCGCATGTAATCATATGTAAAAGTATTACATGCAGTTAGGAATCTAACAACAAGAAGCTGGGTACGGGATAGGGCGCCGGCAAAGATCCTGTTTGGAGTCCATTGAAGAGAGTCAGAAAATGCTGGAGAAATCCGCCAAGTGTCAGGATTACCTCAACCACGATCTCTGAGAGAAGGTTCGCTGACAGCGCATTAAGGAGAAATCGCCTCTGTGTCTGTAAGACATCTCCAGCACTGCAGAGAACAAACTCCCTTCTTGACGAGTTTCAACGCGGGAAGAACCGAGTCCAAATCGCGGCAGGACTGTGGACCAAATTGCCGTTAATCTAAGAAATCCGTTTACTCACTAGATTCTGGTGAGTACCCATCTATAAGGGGGTCGTTGGACTAAATTGAAATAGATCAACCATTATCTGCCTTGTGTTTTCTCTTCCGGCTTTCAAATATCATCCACTGAACACTGTTTTCGTCTATCTGATATCTTCACTGCAAGAGTGTCACTTGTAGATTAGCCTGAGACTGATGTAGACTGTTGATTATCATTTGAGTGGCTGTCACAATCTTTGTTACACATTTCCGATTGATGATTTAATGTAACAACTGTAGACTGTTGATACCTAACCCAGAGACAAAAGAAAAAGCAAGAGGAAATCTTCCCAAAATGAAGGGAATTCCCCTCCTGATACAGTTGTCACAAGAACTATTTATCAAAACTGGAACAGCTGTGCATGGCAACCAATCCGCTCCTCTCTTCAGTGTGTAGTTCAGATTCAAAAATGAAAGAGAGAAACTGATTGGTTGCTATGCACTGCTGCTCCAGATTTTGTCTGCTTGAGTTTGGATCAATTCCCCTCACAGTATGGGATTCAGTGCATATACTGTAAAGGTTTTTGGTGGAGTAAATAAAAAGAAAAATATCGGAGCCATTACTTCCTTCTCATGTTCCCCTGCACAATACTGCTAAGTTGCTGCAGAATCCTATTGTGCTTTTTCAGATTGAGAAATTAGCTTTGTGTAGTGAACTAGCTGCCTGCTCTTGTGTCTAGGTCTTATAATGTTTTGGCTTTGGACCCAGAAATCCATTTAACAGGATGTTTATATTTCAACAGGATGTTTATATTTATCTATAAGTAGTACTTCCTAAGTAGGAAGCCACATCTTCCTGTTGATCCTCATCTATTCCACCAATTCATTTTAATGTCCCCAAACAGTCTTTTAACAGGTGTCTGGTTTAACAAAAAACAGACTTCATCACAGAAAATAGATAATTTAGAATGTTACTTTTTAAAAAAAATTAAATAATGCAGACCCATTACACACAACCCCTGTTGTGTGCGTATAGTGGAATGGGTTGATTCATAACTTATTTTAAATTGTTTTGTTCTCTTTTGGAAAATTATACTTGTTTCAAACAGGATCTTGTGTAATGTGAGGACTATTGCTCTTACTGCTGCTAAAGCATAACCTATACCCAAGGGTCCCCTGATCATTTGAGAACCACTCAGCCTATGGCTTTTTGCTTTAATGTAGACATAAAATTCCCACATGACCTCCTATCATTTTCCTTGTTATAAAAGGAAATTTGCTATGTAGCTGTCTATGTTTCTAAGCTCTTCTCTTGCTCTTTAGCCTATAAGTTTTATATGCTTATGGTAAGCATGACGTGAGTGGGCTTTTTAGTGGCATTATCAGTCGAAATGTAAGTAGACTTTTGTAAGTGTCAACTGGTCTACATAAAAGGACAATGATATAGCTTATTGGTAATGCTTCAGTGATGTCTAATCTGGCCATTTTCTTTATGTATATATTTTCTTTATTTTTACAGTTCTATGTCCTGGGCCCCATTCTATTCCCCATACGTTTCCTACTGGCTGCCATCTTTCTGTTTCTCATGTGGCCAATAGCTGCTCTCAGAGTTGCAGGCATGACAGAAGAAGAGCTGAGCCGCCCAATACGACATAGACGCACGTAAGTCCAAAGTGATGATAATGGAAGTGATGATATTGTTTAGAGGTATTTGTCATCGTTATACAGAACAGCACATTCATTTATTTCCATCTCTCCCCTTTTCATTTCCCATTCCATGTGTCTTCTCCCCTTATGCACACAGCATTCTACATCACTTGATTTACGTACTGAGCCGCACTATGTTCTTCATGTGTGGCTTCCACTGGATCACCATCCGTGGCCGCCGTGCCTCCAGCTCTGAGGCCCCACTGCTGGTTGTGGCCCCTCACTCCACCTTCTTTGACCCCATTGTTACTGTGGTGTGTGACCTCCCATCAGTTGTGTCCCGAGTGGAGAACCTCAACATTCCTGTGATTGGAGGTGAGCCAATTAATAAACTCTTATGGAAATCTCCATGCTTTTCTGCTTCTAGTTCTTTAGTTTAGGCAGTTCTGGTTTTATAAAATCAGGGCATAAACAGAAGATGGTTCAAGGTCTGCATGGAACAAATTTAAACATGCCTTCATTATTTTTAACTATTTGCTGATTTAAACAGATGTAATATTCAAAAATAGTTTTTGCCCTCCTATCAAAACATCAATTTCCCAGAGGCTTTTGTTTTACCTTCCTCTAGGTGAAACGTGTTGTAAAAGGTTAAACTGAAAGTAAACCTGACCTGGCCTAAAATGTTTCTAAGGCAATAACAGTGCTAAAACAATTTTGCTCTGCTTCAACAATAAGCCCCACCTCTCTCATTCAACTGTCAATTGTCAGAGCCTCTGTTGTCCACTGAAGTTTTGTCATTCAATTGTTTAATGAATGAGGTGAGACTTTTTGTTGGGAGTGGGCAGGGCTTAGTTAGGGCAGAAATGAAGGCACCATGTACAGCCTGGGTCTGGAATTCAAGCGTCTTCACAGGGACATGGATCGACTAATACAGATATTTTAAGGCACCACAAGGTGCTTGCACTTCTGCACTGCTACTCTTGCCTTAGAAATGTTTTAGGTTAAGTCAGGTTCATTTTAAATCCGAACTACAGAGTAAACTTTTTTGTTGTGTTGTACTGAGATTTATTGTTGAAAAATTTAAGGTTATGCACATGGGAGCAAAGAACGTGTGCACAAACTACTGTTTGGGGGGTGCTACGTTAGGGAAGTCGGACATAGAAAAAGACCTGGGCGGTCCTCATGGATCACAGATTTGGCAATAGTAAGCAATGCCAAGCAGAAGCTAGCAAACCAAACAGGATTCTGGCGTGCATTAAAAGAGAAATTGTAGCAAGGGAGAAAAGAGTAATACTACCACTTTATAAATAATTGGTTCAGCCTCATCTTGAGTATGCGGTGCAGTTTTAGTTGCCAACTCTCAGGAAAGACATCCTCGAGCTGGAGAGAGTTCAGTCAGGGCTACAAAATTAATTAAAGGGATAGAGGGCCTGAGTAATGAAGACCGCCTTCAGAAATAAAATTTAGAAAAGAGGCGATTAAGAGGGGATCTTATTGCAGTCTACAAAATCATCAGTGGGGACCGCAAAATATTAGAAACAAACTGTTTTATCCGAAAACTGTATTAAGAACACGGGGACACAATAGGAGGTTGGAGGAAAGGGGGTTTAGTCTTAGAATTCGTATGGTTTTTTTTTTTTTACTGTGAGAGTAGAGAAATTGTGGAATTCCCTTCCACAGGCGGTAGTCTCCACTGAGAGCGTTGATAAATTCAAGAAACTTCTCTATGAGTTTCTTATGCAGTGGTGCAGTTGCAGGCATGTGCAAATGCTTACGGTAGCACTGACAATCAGGCATGTAAGCTTGTATTGCCATGAAGGTGATGCATCCTGATTGGATATTGGGGGCTTAAAGGGTCGCTGAACCCTTCCCTCACTACTTGTTATTTAGCCAAATAATCTGTTATGTGGATACCCTTGTTCCTGATTGGATTCCAATGGTGACCTAAGTTTCCTGCCTACTTTGATCCTTGTCGGTCACCCTCCTGGTACCCCACTGTAGTTGTTTGACTTCCTTGTACTAAACATTGGCATTGACCTATGCAGGTTGTTGCCTGCAGGTCCATCCCAGAGCGTGTGTTTTAGAGGTGTTTGTCACACATATTTTAATAACGCCATCAGTGACTCTTGTTAGGCCAGATGCTCTTAGAGTTAGTACCCTAATTAGAGCCTTTTGCCATACTGCTAATGTCTAGGACCTTTTCCCCTCCATCCTTGCTCTGTTAGATACCCTTTTATGTTATAACTGGCGATCCCCTATATGGAAAATGTGGCGGAGCAGGTTCAAGCACTGACCTTGATTGTGCAAAAGATCTGTACATAGGTAACTACTCAGAGGTTTGCAGCTGTCCAACATGGCCTTGTCAGATGCCACAGCCTTAGCCTGTTAAATCTCCCCAACCACTTCTAAGGAGACGGAAAGCAATTTAATAAAAAAAATGCATGATGGTGTGGTTATCCACAGATTCACAGAAATCTGCATGAATATGGTTTGGTCTACTTGGAGTCCACTTTTCCGCTACTTGTATTATTCTGGGCAACCCCTGGCTATGTCATCATAACCCCCGGATAGTTTGGATCAGTGCACAGAGAAATTCATCTTTTGGAAAAGTTACCCAGTCAAATCTACTCAGTAGCAGCATAACTCTGTAGTATGCTTCAGTGGCTAAGTTTGAACATCCAAGATTGAGAAATATCACTTTCAGATCTTCATTGGCATTTTCTTGAGGTATATTTTATCATGTTTTAAGTTATTAAGAACTGGGTTTAGCCTGAAAGTCCTTTTAGCATTTTTTTTTTTTTTTTACATTTTATCAGAGATCACTCTGACCTCTAGTTGTCACCTTAGGAATCTTGTCCTTATGAAGGGACAACCACTAACAGTGGCCTGACAAGGTGGTCAATGCCTTTTAACAAGCTAAAAAGGGCCTGGCCTTCATCCTGATACATCCACTTTTTGGAGGGGTTGGGACCAATATAGGAGTAAGCTCTATCCTCTATGACCTTCACCAGCCCTGAACTCTGCTTTTTTTTTCCTTGCCTCGCATCTCTGTACCTGTCCTGGTTGTCTGTCTTTCTAGTACTGCCCCTTGTTCTGACTCTATTGCACTCCTGCCTAATGCCTTGAGGGTGGCTACGGAAGCTGTAGTCACACCATCTGTTGCTCGGGTGCACCTCGGATACCCCTAGAAGTAATGTCTCCTTTTACCATCCTGCTGGTGGGCAGGAGTACCTACTGCCTTCCTCACCCTCACTGGATCTATGCTGTATCTAGGCCAGAAATCCCAAAAAGTCACATTTTGATTGGGTTTTAGTTAATAAAATAATATTAATAACTTCATCTACAATCATGTAAGAGCCCAGCCCTATTAAGAAGGCACTTTAAAAAGACTTAAATGGAGCTGTGGCGAAGGTGAGTATAAAGGGGCCTGGGGGTAAACTTTTTAAAAAACATCTGTCACTTTGCCCTGAGTTTCTTTAGGTAGCAAGGCTGTATCTGCTTACATCAGCCACAGTATTAATGCTCACAAAGAGTTGCCAAGTGCAGCTAGTTATGCATATTGGTCACTTGGCCTCAGGGCTTTGCCCTGATTTTCATAATGAGTCTAAGGCATACCTGAATAAAACATGTGCTTGAATAGAGCTAAAGAATTAAACAAAATAGCCAAGCATGTAACAGTAAAAATTTAATTTATCATGTGTGCTCCTTTTTATTCTGCAGTGAATCTAAAATAAAAATGGCATGCATACATTTTTTTCATGGGAAATCAAATTTAAACTGCAAGAAATAATCATAAATGTACAGAAGAATGACAGTTTTAAGTGTGTATGCAGCAAAGTTGATGACACTTACCATTTTTGGAAGCTTTTTAAGACCTATAGTTTGGGGCTCTGAATTGTTACATATAACTGAGTTTGCCTATGTCAGTCAGTGTCCTCATATGAACAGAACTTTGCTACAGTTTTGTGATCTCTTCCTTAGCTCTGCTTCGATTCAATCAATCCATTATGGTGTCCCGACATGACCGAGCATCAAGGAAAAAAGTGGTGGAGGAGGTGAAGAGACGAGCAACCTCCCGTGGGGAGTGGCCTCAGGTGGAGTGCTAATTCCTTTCTAAAAGAGATTATCACATTGTTACACACTAAGAACCTGTAGACAGTTCCATGCAAGTTTTAATTATCTGTCTTCTGTCTTTTCTTTACCCTGTTTGCAAGAGCTGTTTTCCTACATGTGTGTAAAGTTGTTGCTCAACAGCTCAACTGACTGTTCTGCATATGCTTCCATTTTGGGATGCAAAAGGCTTAAAGGATAACTTAACTTTTTTTAACTGCTCATTAGGGGATATAAAAGATTCAGATACCATGGATACTGCCACCTTCAGACAAAATTGGACACTTGCAAAAAAAAAATCTGTTAGCCTGTAAAACCCCTCCCACTCCCATCATGCTTAATTTTTTTTTAATGGTCCAGGGGAATGGATGTATTATCCCCCTGGGGTACAGCTTCACCATTTCAGTTATTCCTTCCTTTTTTTTTTTCTCCCAATTTTTATTAAGAGATTATTTGCTACTGTAGAGCCCAGAGAGCTCCTAGATGCAGCTTTCTGGATCGGCTGATCCTTGGGTGACACTATCAGTAGGGAGTTTGTGTGGGTTTACTCCCATATTACAAAGACATGCTGAAAGGTTAATTGGCTCCTGGCTAAATCAGCTCAATATGTATGCTTGTGAGATAGGTAACTTAGCTCCTCCAGGGCAGGGACTGATGTGAATATGCAGTATGTAAAATGCTGTGTAAATTGTCAGCTCTATATAAATACCTGAAAGAAATAAGTAACAAGGTCTGATGCTGAAGGCCTGGACAGTGATCCCCTGCTTGAGTCCTCACTCTGTGGAATCTCCACTACCTCCCCCAAGCATGACTCCTTCCTCTGCGTTATCCAGGAAGGAATTATCTGCTGCTATGTCAGACTTTATGGCCAAAATGACTTCCATGAGAGCTGACTCAGAACACGAAGATGCAAGCATGTTTCTTTATGAGCAGCTATCTTTGTGCATTTAGCTGAGAAAGAGGAGAAATTTAACTTGTCCTTTTTTCGATAAATTTGTGCCTATGGAGCAATAGTTGGCTGACTTTACTCTTAGGCCTAAAGTGACACTAAACTCAGGAGTTAAACCTTCCAAATGCATTTTAGTACCTTAACTATTAACAGAAATGTATCTTTGTTGTGCATCACTCAGCTGTAGATCCTCAAATCATCTCTGAATTTGTGCTGGCACTGTCATTACTTCTGGAGGGTGGCTACTTATGTTCCCTATGATTCCTGTGTGTGTTGTAAAGTAGCCACCGCTCCAAGCTCACTCCCATGATAGACTACAATCTCAATACAAAATAGTAAACAAAAGGTGAGATTATCATGTCAATCTTTGCTTTCCTCCATCTGGAGGACGTTCTGGCCTTGATGGACATTAAGGATCTATGCTTCCATATCCCATCTTTGTGGCACATCAACACTACCTGCATTTTGCTGTGGGCTCTCAACAATACCAGTTTGTTGACCTCTCCTTTGGGCTGTCCACAGCACTTCAAGTCTTAATCAAAATACTAGCCCCTGTGCTTGCTCTGCTTCATTCACGAGGCATCCCCTTACTGGTTGATCTTCTCCTGAGGAAACAGTTGGATCAGACCTTGTCTGCCAATTTCCATCAAACCGTGCAGACTCTGTAAAGGTTTGGTTGGTGCCTGAACCTTCAGAATTCATCCTTAGAAAGACTAATTGCTTGGTGTATCTGTGTCTCCTTTGAGATATTGCTCAGTCCAGGTTTTTTCTTCCACAGGATATACTCTTGACCCTCCGCTCTCAGGTTCAGACTCTGCAGTCCAAGAGCTTTTGAACTCTATGCTTTTCCATGAGGGCTCTGGGCTTGACGATTGCCTCTTTTGAGGCAGTTCACTATGCCCAAATTCCACCTTGGCGACTTCATGGGATTAGTTCAACCTGATCTGCACCCACTCCCAAACCTTCACTGTGTAGCCCTGCTGGGTGCCACACAAATTTAGTAAATAATATGTTTCTTCCTACTACATAGATGTACTATGGCCCCATTTATTTCTCTAGATGAGCCAAACTTTACTGGATTGTTGGAGGCCGGCCATGAGTACAGCCCATCCACAGGAACAAATGGAGCTGCAGATGAAATGTTTTCTCTGAAAAGGCTATATGGTACCACAACGGGGTGCACAGTGAAGATTTTGGGAGTGGGGAGGTTGGTAACTATAATACTGCGTGGGGGGTGAGGGAAGAAGTCAACCTATATAAATAACCATGGACAATATTCTTCTGTGGATAGATTTCAGACTGTGGCACTGCTTTTACTGGAATCACTCATTTTAAATTAGTTCCTGAGACTTTAACACATGTATCTTTGCACATAAGATCTTTTACATAATCTAATAATATTATCTTTCGTTTTTTTTCCTTAGCTTTTGTTTTTCCCAGAGGGAACAAATGGGAATGGACAAGTGTTACTGAAATTTAAGCCAGGTAAGTCTATAGCTCATCATAGAGTTGCCCTATAGGGAGTATACCTCTGTACATGGTATATTTACTCTGATCACTTCTGTATTGTTCTGCAGGAGCCTTTGTGGCAGGAGTGCCTGTTCAGCCAGTGCTAATGCGATACCCTAACAAACTGGTGAGTAACATTGTTTGGGTTAGCTGTCCTCTACCATCACTTGCGTTTTTTGTTTCCTATTTGCAAATCTTCATTTATTAGTTAACTACATAAACCACAACGTCATACGCTAACTGGAAAAGCAGGTGTATATAAAAATAGGGCTTATGCAAAAATGCAATTATTTAGTCATTAAGGAATCCTCTGCTTTTGAAAATTAGTGGGTTGCTCTTAGTGACCTTCTTAGGTGCCCATTCACACTGGGCGTTTATTCGCGCCATTTCTGCCGCGATATCGTGAGAAGTCGCCGTCCAATGATTTTCAATGGAGCTGTTCTATTGTACAGCTCCATGTCGCCGGTCGCTCGTCGTGCGTCGCTTGTGCAGGACCCTTTTTACCGCGGATATCGCAAGTTTTCTATTTTTGCATGCAGCCCGACGGTAAGGGTCACGCAAACGTCGCCTGAACAGTCGCGCTATCCTGCCGCGCGGAAATCCGCTCGAGGTAAGTGTCGCTTAGTGTGAATGGGGCCTAAATGACAGTTGTGTGGCTGTTTTGACGATCCTCGCTCCAGTTATTTTTGCGTCTCTGACTCAAAAGAAGTATCCAGATCGGGGAAATCTGAGACTGATAACACATCCAGCCTTCAGCATACAACAGAGTCAAAAAACAGAACCCTGTAATTAAGAGAATTGTAAAAAACAACAACTTTATATTATCTGATACATTTATGCACATTCAGGAGCTGGGAGAGAATATGTGCTATTCACATAAGATCAGGCAGTTAACAGGGCAGCAACTGACAGGCTTTCATGTACACCCCCAAAACCACTCTTGGAACCATCTCTGTCCTTGGTCTTTCTCTCATCAAGTGACATATTTAATGGGAACTACTAAGTAAACACAAGAGACTGCATCATATAGTTGATAAAGCCATAAGCCTCAAAATCAGTGATCATATTTTAACTTCTATGATTTTGCTTTTATAACTTTGCAATTGGGAATTATAATTAGAACAGTTATGTATATCCTTAGTGCAAATTTTATATTTTCTTTGGAGTGACCTCATTTTTGTTCAAAAGTTGTTTATTAGAGAATGAACAAGAGTAAACACAGGTACATACAGCATAGTCAAAATGGTTACAAAGTTAAACACCAAAGACCAATGGGATTTCAAGTTACAAAAGCAACATGAATGTACATACCAAAAGACCCACGGGTCTCTGAATCGTCTTAGAGCACTAAAATGACACTCAAGACATAACATCCCATCAGCGCCTGTGAGCGGAACAGGCAGGAGGAGCAGAAGTGAAGCTAGGAGAGAAAATGGTGGAGAAGAGGAAAAGGCAGGCGAGAGGAACCGAACAGAGAATACAGAAAAAGAGAAAACAGATTAGAAAAAGGATTGGCAAGGGCAAAGAGCAGGGAAGGAGAAGGGAAGACGAGCGATAGAAAAGGCCCAGAGTGAGAGCAATGGGGACTAAATCGCAACATTCAAAAAGTATAATACTTCCCACAGGGTTCCCTAATATGTACCTTTAGAACCTCTAAATGGAAGGGGGTCACTAAGTAGGCAACGATCCAAGGAGTCCAGGAGTCAAATTTAGCTAAGCTATCGTTTTGCCAGGCAGTATGTTTTTCATAGAACATCGCCTGAGACTCCAGAGCTTTGACACTTGAAGGGGACAGTAGGAGACTTCCAGGCACGAGCCATTACTCTCTTGGCATCTGTAAGAATATGTGTAACCAATCTAAATTGGGTATGCATGTAAACTTCAGGCTTCTTTAAATTGACCCTGAGAGGGGTCTTTACGAAAGGGGCTCCCTACCACAGTATAGAGAAGCTGATAGTCCAGGGCCAGAACTGCTTAGCTTTCAGACATTCACACCATATATGCTATAACGATCCTTCCACAGTGCACCCCCGAAAGCAGGGACACAATGGGATATACGCCAAGGTACTAAGTCCCTTTCGAAGGGTGTACTTTGTAAGTTGCCTCAATGGCAAGAACATTTGACGAACTCCTAGCAGTGGCCAACCAGATCTGACTCCTGATCCCAATTAGGAGCATATAGTGGAAGGTCTTTCTGCGGATTATCCAAAAGTAATCAATCTATAAACAAAGAAATCCCGGTTTGTGAGAATAGTTTTACAGTTGATGCTCCTAAATGAGTCAAATCACTAGGATTACCCACAACAGGGGTCCTATGTTGAAGGAAATGTTTTATCTGTAGGTATGGAAAGACATTCTCTGGCCTTAGATAGTGAAAAGACTGCAAAGTATGGAAGGGGATTATCCCTGTAGGGTCTAAAGTGTTAAAGTTTACACCTTACCCATTTCCTAAAGGGGTAATGGTCCTCATACACCGGAGGAAACTTGGGGTTACCGAGTATGGACATAGAGGGCTGGGAGGTGAGACTAGTTTATGAGAGAATTTCCACTTTTGCCACATTCAATGGAAATGCCTGGTGATTGTGCAACTGACAGAGGTACAGTATTTCTGTGATAACCATAGAAGGTTATTGATTGAAGTCGGGTAACACAAATTTGTCTCAATGGATACCCACAGGGGAGTCAAAGAACAGGTTGCCAAAAGGGCAACTAGGCAAGTTGCGCCGCGTGATAGTACTTCTGAAAAAAGGGAGGCCAAGGCCTTTACACACTTTGGAGCAATATAGGACTTGTTTGTATACACAACGTCCCCTTCTGAATGAAAAAAGCAAAGAAGGCAATTCTGTAACGCGTGCAGTCATTTGAGACCCAACTAAATGCAAACAAGTCATGAAGGGATTCCATCATTTGTGGGAGCAAAGAGACACCCATAGTCTGTGATTTTGTGGAGTTAACAAGATAGATCACCAAACCCTGATAGTATGGGCATAGGATTCGGTAGAGATTTCAAAGGCTTAGATAGCAACAGAAGAGCATCATCAGAAAATGTTGTGATGGTAATCTGCCATCTCCGGTTCTCATATATTCTGGTCAAAGAGGATAGCTTGGGGTTCTTTTATCGGGTCAAAGAGAATAGGGGACAGTAGTTATCCTTGCCTTGTACCCCCTAGTTATGGAGAATGGGTCTGATGTAAAGCCTGCGTCATAGAGTGACCTCATTTTTAAAGCTTTTCAAAATTCTGAAGTAGTATTTTTGTTATTGCTAAATAACATTTTGATTGGGTGTTAGCAGGCCTAGTATAAAATATACTTACCTCTGCAGTGCTAATGCGGCAATCCACCTCCATAAAATACCTCCAGTGATCTGGTCCTTTTGCTGTTAATCTTGTTGCCTCTAGATTTTGACACCCGTCCCGTAGACATTACCATGGGAAAGAGAGCTATGTATGTGCTTCTTAGTTTTGGCCAGCTGTAATTGGAAAAGCCCCTATGTGTTGGCTAATTATGAGGATGGAGGTATGCTGTGCTAGAAAAGCCAGGGCATGGTAGCAGTCTGTGGTGGTGTGGGGTTTTTTTTTTCTTTCATTTTTTTTTTTTTTATGACACTGCAAATTGCTAATCAGCAGGAGTCTGACTAAGATGATCTGCAACAGTTTTATAGTTAAAGGAGAACGCCAGGAAAATACATTTTCAGCCTACTGTAACGAGCTTATGCAAGCATTAAAAATATGTGCTTACTTTTCTGCATAGCAGTATGGTCTTCCAGAAATCCATGGTACAAGTCTGTGCTTCTGCCGTCTGCCTTCTACATTTCCTTTCTGTTAGACTGCACAGTGGCTAGTGGTCTGTCAGCCTAGCCTGTGGTCTAATCACCTCCCCTTGTAGTTCTATTGCAGGAAGCGATCACATCCCAGCACGGACTGCAGTGGGTAGAGTAGGGAAGCCTTAGACTGCTGGTCTGACCCTGTCCACTCTCAGTGCAGAGCTCTCTGCTGTCACACCTCTGTATAGTCACACTGCTCTTCCACACTAGTGATGGGAAGTTTGGATGTTTTTCAGGAATCGATTCATCAGTTTACTTGCTGAGTCGGCTGACAAGCAAGTGAACTGAAGCTCAAGATCTGACTCAATCTAAATGAGGATCTCATCTGATCCAGACTGTGTATGTCATCTATCTTATCTCCCTATGGTTCAGTGTAGTGGTGTACTATTGGCTGAGAACTGTTGTTGTGAGAAAAGTTGTGATTCTCAGTGTACTGTTAGCTCTCTGATTGGTTGAAAGGAGGGGCTGAGCTCTCACTTTAGGATCATATTCCCAGAGCTGCTGTGTTTGATGCAACACTGAACCCTTTCAAATGAATCCGTTATCAGTTTAGTCGGATGAATCATTTCACTGAATAGAATCAATTCAAAAGAAAGATTTCTTCATGAACTGGACATCACTATTCCACACAGCCAGATGCTGTTAGGAGGAGGTAGGATGACTTTAAAGCAGAGGAATTTGTCATGCAGAGGCACCTGTAATATGTATGTGCAGTCACAAAAAAAACCTGTTACTGGAGCATACAGGAGTTTGTAACTCTTCCCATCTCTACCCTCAGCTCTGTCTATACATGCCTCCCACTTCTATTTCACAATGCCTCATGGGAGATGTAGTCTGCTCTCTATGCCAGCCAGGATATGACACATACTGGTTACCTAGATCCCCCGCCTGGCTGCAGGAAGGACTGATCTAATAATAGGAGGTTGTGACATCATTGGCAGCTAAAAACGAGAATGACAAGAAAATAACTTTTATGATAAATTGTTACAGCAGTTTGCTTCCTCTGACTGAGAGGGACCGAAATATATAAAGTGATGAGCATCCCGGAGTAGATCTTTAAAGGTCAGCTATAATCACGTGATATTTTTAAGTTGTTTTTTTTTTTTTGTGGTTATTGATAAATTTAATCTCAGGTTAGCTTTATAAGTTTATTGGTGACTCTCTATTTGTAAGAGATGGGGATATAT